TGATATTAATATATGTTTGAGATGGTGGATATGCTAATTATCTTGATTACCATACATTATATGTGTTGAAACATCACTAGGTACCCTATGAATATGTACAATTATTCATCAATTAAAATTTTAAAAAGAAGTTAGCTGTAATAATGTAAACTTTATCCCACCCAAGTTCATGGACCCAATGAGATCTATCCCCTATCAGGGTTGGAAGCCCCGCCCTGGTGCTCTTCCACCTGTGGCCAGCAGGGGCGTCATAGGACAGTCTTGGGGGACTGAGGGCCTCCAACTGGGACCACTCAGAGGGCACAAGGGACCTTAGCCAACGGGGTCTCTATCTGGGTGTGACTGACTGCAGCTGTGTGCTGCCAGGACCCACAAGGTCATCAGGGTCAGGCACCCTTCCCCCACACTGAAGTGGCTCCAGGGAAGCCAGCCCCTCCCCTTCCCAGGGAGCCACTCTGGCCAGGGCTCTGGGTGGGCAGGAGCCAGTCAGGAAGCAGCGTGTGTACGTCTCCACCCCATGATGGGCTGGGCAGGGGCCTGGGAGCCCAGCGCCTGCTGTGGGCCCCGGACACAGAGCTCTCAGTGCCTCCCAGTGGCGTGGACCTCTCTCCTCCTCACCCTCCTCACTCTCTGCCAGGGACAAGCTGATGGGATCTCAGGAAACAGCCCAGCGGGGCGCTTGGGCTCCTCTTCTGGCCTCCCCCTGGGTTCAGTGTGGGTTAGGGTCTAAGGGGGACCCTTCCTCGGGTCTCCCTTCTTCCAGGGTCCTGGGCCCAGTCTGTGCTGACCCAGCCAGCCTTGATGTCGGGGATTCTGGGACAGAGTGTCATCACCTCCTTGGTAAAACCAGAGCTTGGCGCATGCTCAGTGTCCAGGAAGCACACCCAGCCAGTCTCGGAGTGTGGCTCTGCAGGAGGCCAGGGCGGGCCTGCGACCAGGGGACGTGGCAGGTGCCTCCACGTTGAGGGTGGCTATTGGCTCACTCTTGGGTGCTGAGGAGAGGGGCTGGAAGCCAGGGACACAAGATGCCTTGCAGCCCCTCCTCCCTGGGGCCAGCAAGGAGGGAATGGTTCTGGAGCGGCATGGCCACACTGTGGGGTCAGGGCTGTGCCCACCATGGCCTGAACTCCTTTCTGCTCCCCTCACTGCCTAGGTAGGGACAGGCCTCGGTGACCCAGGGCAGTCCCCCAGCCTGCTTCAGCCCCTCTCACACCCCCAGTCAGCCTTACCTGGGACCCCGCTCCTCATCGGGATCTGTCTGCGTTTGCGGGTTCCGTGCTCCAGTCTGTGCTGACCCCACTGCCTCCCTCTCTGTGTCTGTGGGGATGACGGCCACACTCGCCTGCACCCTGAGCCATGACATTAACATTGGTGGCAAAAAGAGACCGGTCCCTGCAGAAGCCAGTGCTTCTTCCTGGGAATGGTGTCAACAATGTGACGGAGGGAAAAGGCGGAGGCCCAGAGGGAAGCTGAGCAGCCCTAAGGGAGAGGCTGAGGAGGTGTGCTGGGAAACGCTCAATACCTGGCCCTCTAGAAAGGAATGCTGAGTTCTCGTGTTTGCCCATTTCTGTGGTGGCTGATTTCAAGCTAGGAACATGGCATCGCTGAGCACAGAGATGCAGAGATGTGCACAGTGAGGCTCTCACAGCATGGGATGAGCTGCCTGTAGCTGTCGTGGCCCGATTACAGAATGGGGAATGACACACACAGCACATACACTTAAGACGCAGACAGACAGAATTGGCTGCAGCCCCGGAAGGAAAAAGGACACAGAGACAAGAGACGGTTTCGGACTGCAGCACTGGAAAAGTGCTCGTCAGTTTATTATATACAGTTTAATTGGGCGAGCGTCCCACAGCTATTTTCCCATGCCAGCTACTTTTTGGTACGTGACTTCCCATGGCCAACAACACCTGCTTTTCCAGTCAAAGCAAAAAGCTTGGCCTTCTACAGGAGATCTCTTTGGTGTTTTGCTCCGCTTTCAGATAACAAACAATCTCGGCTCGAGTGCGAGACCTTGAATCCTAGACCGTCTTGCAGTGCCTAGCACCGCGCACTGGTTCCCAGGCAACCTTGGCTCGCATGCGAGGCCATAGGTTCTTGGCCGTTGCCTGGAGAAACAGTTCCTTCAGCCGGTCAACAAGCCCCGTCCTGCTAATCGTGGGGACAAGCAATGGGCTCCCGTTCTGCTGACCTGGGGTCTCAGCCCATCTGACCCTGGGACGGCTCGCTGCAGCTCCCTTCAGTAGCCTTTCAAACGCCCAGGGAATCTGAAGCACGCAGATGCACACAGACATTCTCTCTCTATACACACACAATTATTTTTATACAGTAACATACACAAATAATATACACAATTATTTTTATACAGTAACATACACAAATAATATACACAATTATTTTTATACAGTAACATACACAAATAATATACACAATTATTTTTAAAAATTTGCTCTTCTGGAAGACCCAGCTTTCTTCTTAGAGCTCACCATAGTTTGAATGATTACTTGGAATTTTTAAGTGACAAAAATTATAACAATATATTTGGAAACACCCTTAAAATGGTAAAGCAAGTAATAAAAGAGAATCTTGAAATGTATTTGTAATTTTTAGCTCTAAGATGATCCACAGCGAATGAAGGATATCAAAGTAAATATTGTTTTTACAAAAGGGTTTCATTTGGTTTAAAATACAAGAATGACAAATAGGATTGTAATTCTTTGAAAACTAAGTACAAATATTACAACTATATACAAGGTAAACATAAAGATGCTAATCTTATGGAAAAAAAATCAAATCTGGGTTTTTTTATACCAACAAAAATGAGCTTGGAAAGGACCTGGATGTGAAAGTATGCAAACTGTATTTAATTCTTTTTCACGGCGCAGATGAGAAGCTCGTATCAACAAAATTTGCGGTCAGAGTTAACCCACGATGCCTTGTCCCAGGCACCGTGGAGTCATCTAGAATCGAGTTCTGAACAAACCCCCTCAGCTTCGAGCAGCCCACGCACCTGTCTCGGTGGGCCCTCGTGTCTCACATTCAGCCTGGTGGCTTAGAACTTGAAATGCTCTTTGCAGCCCCTCCAGCCCCTTCTGAGACAGCGCCTTTTCCTTCTGCAGAGGCGGGGACGCCTGAGGAGAGAGGCCTGCCAAGGCGTCGGCGATGGAGGTAAGAATTCTTTCTCTGCCCCAACTCCAGGAAAAGCCTCCACTGTTCCTGGCAAGGGTAAGAGCTCTGGCTGAGAATTTTCTCGTTCTTCCCTCTCCAAAGGGGCCTTGTCAAGCTCTCCGCAAATTCCGTGAAGCCCTCGGGGGCCGCGCCCGGCGGCCTGCCCGTCTCCGGCGTCGCGGCCTCACCGGACTTCCAGGCCCGAGTTCCCCATTCGCAGGGCCCACAAATATGCTACAAACACCCCCCTGCCGGCCGGCCGCGCAGGGGGAGCTGTTGGCCGGAGAGGCAGCAGGAGGGGGGTGGGGCTTGCGGAGCTGGCCCAGCTGGCCAAGCAGGTGAGGTCTGCTCCTCCTCGGGGAGAAAATGGACGTGGGGGGCAGCTCGAGACCACACGGGGACTCATCTGAGCCAAAGGGGTGCTTGTTCCTTCCGGTGTTTGCGAGATAGAGTCCTGGCACATGCCCAGCTGCTCAAGGCCACCCAGTCCAGCCAGGGTCACTTCAGCCGTAGTCACAGGCCTGGGCAGACGCCAGGGGAGGAGACAGACTCCGGCCTTTTCGTGGGGGGATGGACATGTAGAACAAGAGACCTTTGGGGCCATCTTGGAGTTACTTCTGGCTATGGTTTGAATGTTTGTCTCCCCAAAATTCGTCTGTTAGAATCCCGACCCCATCACAGTGATGATATTAGGAGGTGGGGGCCTTCAGGAGGTGATTGGGTCCTGGGGACAGAGCGTGGGATCAGTGTGCTTGCAAAGGAGACCCCAGAGCGTCCCTCCTACCATGTGAGGTCATGGTGAGCAGACCCAGTGGTGGGCCAGGAGGCAGCCCCTCTCCAGACATGGCACCGGCCAGACGCTGGCTTGGACTTCCCAGCCTCCAGAGCCGCAGGAAATAAGTTTCTGTGGTGTATCAGCTGCCTGGCTTGTGCTACTTTGTCACAGCAGCCAGAACCGGCCAACACACTCCCAAGTGCGTTTCCTAGAGCTGCAGTGACAAGGCACCACCGACCCTGGGGCTGAGACAGCAGCAGTTTATTTTCTCACAGTCCTGGAGGCCAGAAGTTCAAGTTCAAGGTGCAGGCAGGGCTGGTGCTCACTGAGGGCTCTGAGGGGAGGCTCGGCTCCAGCCCCCTCCTCGGTGTGCAGGTTCCACCTTCCCTGCATGTCACTTGTCGTACCCTCTTCCCTCTGTGCCTGTCTGTCTGTGAGCCCAAATGTCCCCTTTTTATGAGGACAGCAGTTGCATGAGGTCAGGGCCTGCCCTTATGACCTCACTTAACCTTGATCACCTCCCTGAAAGCCCCATCTCCAAATAGGGTCATATTGGGGGTTAGTGCTTCACCCTGTGGATTTGGGGGGGCATGATTCAGTCCATCACAGGGCCAAGGTGAGCCGGGAAAAGGGAGGAGAGTGACGCAGGGGCCACCCCCAACCCTGTGTGTCTCTCTGCTGTTGGGGAAGGAGCCGGCTTGGGGGCAGTGCCGGTTGTGACAGGGGCGGAGCTTCCCACCTCCTTCCACCTGTACAGACCAGGTGTTTCCAGCGCCCTGAGCATGTGTCCTCCCTTCCCGTTTCACAGGCATTTGAATTTGGACAAGACGTTTGTCTGGGCGGGGCTCAGCTTCCCCAGAGGGAAGTGACCTGGACCGTGAACTTCCCGCAGGTGCTTCCTCCCTGACCACAAAGGCTGCCACTGGCTGTTCCGGTAACGGACACTGAGACCCCGAGAAAGTTGGGGATGGCAGTGGCCAGGAAAGGGGCGAGCCACGGCCCCACCCCCAGTGCAGGGAGGAGGACGGTGGCCCGGCCCGAGGGGGCTCCAGGCGCCCCAGAGTGAGAGGCAGAGCTCTGCAGGGCTGCGCCATGTCCCGGACTCCCGTCCTGCTGCTGCTGCTGCTCACCCACTGCACAGGTGAGGGCCCCCGGAGTCTGCAGCACCCGCCCCATCCCTCACCTTGCCCTACCCCAGGGGCCCACATGCTTCTGTGTCCCCAGGCTGTGGCCTTCACCTGTTGCTGCATCAGCCACCCACCACGTCTGCCCTCCTCGGAACCACCGTCCGCCTCACCTGCACCCTGAGCAGCGACCACAACATTGGCGTTTACAGCGTCTTCTGGTACCAGCAGCGGCCGGGCCACCCTCCGAGGTTCCTGCTGAGATACTTCTCACACTCAGACAAGAACCAGGGCCCCAAGGTCCCCCCTCGCTTCTCTGGATCCAAAGATGTGGCCAGGAACAGGGGGCACTTGAGCATCTCTGAGCTGCAGCCCGAGGACGAGGCTATATATTTCTGTGCTGTGGGAGCCCAGAGCATGGAGAAGGAGAGGGACATGGAGGGGGGCAGGGAGAGGGACACGGAGGGGGGCAGGGAGAGGGACACGGAGGGGGGCAGGGAGAGGGACATGGAGGGGGGCAGGGAGAGGGACACGGAGGGGGGCAGGGAGAGGGGGGAAGAAAAGGAGGCTGCTAATCCCAGGACCTGGGTCCCTTGACCTGAAGACGGAGGGGCAGGGTCCTTGCAGGGGCTGGTGTGGTGGATGAGGGCAGAGCCACGGGCCACACGGCGTGCCCTGGTCAGACAGTGTTGCTGTAAGCCCCGACGGAGGCTGGATTTGGGGATTAAAGCTGCTTGTGTCTTGGGACGTTGTTTGCTGACTTTGGTCTGACTCACGCGCCATCTCATAGGAAGCGTCTAAGAACCAGGGGCGAAGGTCCCGGGCAGCGGGCTGACCAAGGCCTGCTTGGCTGAGGTGCTGGAGAGCGCTCGCCCGCACCCGCAGGCCTGTGCCATGGGAGCCAGGGGGTGGACAAAAGCCCCGGGGTGGGCACCCTTGCCAAGGACAGGACCCTCTATCGGCATCTGATCACGCTCAGGAGTTGCAGGGTAAACAAGCTCAGAAAATCCCCTACTGAGCCTCTTGTAAGGGAAACAGGACCCAGGCGTTAGGTCCAGAGCAGGTTCTCCGTCTCTGCCCATTGGCATCTGGGGCCAGACCGTTCTTGGCTGTGGGCTGTCCTGTGCACTGAAGGCCGCCAAACAGCCTCCCTGCCCACCAAACCCCTCCCAACCAGGCTAACAACCAAAAATGTCTCTGGACATTGCCAAGTGTCCCCCAGGGGTGGCTAGATCACCCCAACTGAGAACCACCGGCCGAGGTGAGAGAGACGCATTCACTCTTCTGTGCAGGACAGTGGCAGAGGCTGACAGATGTTTTCTATAAACGGCCAGATAGTAAATATTGTGGCTTGGTGGGCCGTACGGTCTCTGTCACAGCCTCTCAGTTCTGTCCTTGTGGCAAGAGAGCAGCCACAGACAACAGGTGGGCGGGCGGGCGTGGCTGCGCGCCTGTTAAACTTGGCTTGCCAAAGAGACGCGGCGGGCAGGACGCCCGCTCGGCGCAGCGTGCTGACCCAGCTCTAGAGACACGCCAGCTCCTGCCTCCGGGTCTTAGCCAAGCCGCGCCTGGGGGTGGTCAAGGTTCCCCTCGACCCCTCCTGCCTGGTGACCCAAAGGACACTGACCCTCTGGACCCCCGGAGAGACCTCGAGGGTGGAGGGATGGATGTGGTCTCACAGAGGCCGCACTGGGCTCGTCAGGTGGAGGAGGGATGGGAGGGTTCCCGCGGCCCGCCCCACGGCGTGGGCCCCTCAGCACGTGGGGCGTGGGGCAGGGTGTGCCCTGCAGGGAGGGACCCTTCACATGGGTGTCCACACAGTGTGTAGACACGGCTCACGCTCAGAGAGGTGCCAGGCAAACCGTCTCCCATGTGACCCCAAACCTGGCTGAGAACGTCCCAAAGGGTCCTCCTGGAAAGTCAGACATGTGTCAATATCAGCCCTTACACACATGGCCTGTGATTGTCTCTTTTGTAAAATGATGGTCTCAGCTCATGCCATGCTCTGGTGACCCTTGGGGCTTCCATGTCCTCAAACACACTGAGTTCTTCCTGCACCAGGCGTTTGCCCCCTGGTCCGTGCTTTTCGTTATTATCATCATTATTTTTAGAAACAGGATCTTGCTATGATGCCCAGGCTGGAGAGCTGTGGCTATTCACAGGCATGATCATATGCAGCCTCCAACGCCTGGGCTAAAGCGATCCTCCTGCCTCAGCCTCCGGAGTAGCTGGGACTACAGGTGCCACCACCACACCCAGTTCAGGCCCACATTTGAAGGCCAGCTAGATGATCCTTAAAGAACTCTGTCTTCTGCACATAACCCACCCTTCTCCTGTGTTCATCTTTCACGGAGGGGGGCAGGGAGAGGGACACGGAGGGGGGCAGGGAGAGGGACACGGAGGGGGGCAGGGAGAGGGACACGGCATTTTAGGGAGAGGGACACGGAGGGGGGCATGTCCATGTCATGGCAAGAGGCGCAGAAAGCAGGGAGTCGGGTTGAACTCCTCTATCATCCTAAGGCCCCTGCTCCACTGGCTCAGTGGAGGATGAGACCTCAGGCCAGACAGAGTGTGAGTCTTGAATATAGTCGGCTTTGGAGGGGTCGCTTGAAATCAAGCCCAACATTCCCAATGTTGCGTGTAAAGGGAAAAATAATAGTGATGATTACTTTATATAAAATGCTTAACATGGGCTTAATTGTCATGGGCGCTCAACAAAATAGCAGTGTCATTATTTCCTCATCAGTCACTGGCCTGGCCTTTTCTCTCATCAAATCCTTTCCTCTAGTCTGAGTAATTTCTCACCTTGACCATTATCTGGCCTCCTGCCCTCCCGCTACAGCGTGGACCCTCCACCCTTTCTTTATCTTTGTCACTCCTAGATCCAGCCTTGCCTGCACTCCTCCTCTCTGACCCTTAATTATCTCCCGTACTCCAAGGCACATATGCTAGCCACATCTGTAATTTTCTATTTTCTAGTGGCTACATTAAAAAAAAAAAAAGTAAAAAGAAATGGGTGAAATTTTTAATAACACATTTTATTTAATACAATGTATCCAAAATGTTATCAATTCAACCTATAATCAATGTAAAAATTAGTTACTGAATAGCTTAAACTGCTTTTTGTATTCACTCCTCAAAATCAGTATGTCATTTACACTTGTGGCTCATCTGACTTTGGAGCAGCCCTGATCCAAGTGTCTACAGTGGCGTGTAGCTTGTGAAAACGCCGCACAGGCTGAGGGGATACATTTCAGACCCCTCACCATGACACAGCCTTCCAAGGCTGGCTCAGGCTCTGTCCCCAAGTCCCATTTCTTGCATCCCAACTGCCCATTTCTTCCCTGTTAAGCCAACCACAATTGGCCAAACACCTGATTCTCTTGGCTGTCCCCGAGTGAGCGCCCAGGCTGTTTATTGCCAGGAGGACGTCCTCTGCTGCTGAGGGCCTCCAGCTGGGCGCACAGACTCAGGGCTCCACAGTTGTCTCAAATCTCACTCCTTGGACAAGACTTCCCTGATCTCTTTAGCAGTTGTTAGCTTCCTCCAGTGTGCAAACAACATGTTTTCCTAACTATATTTAGCACCTACCACACGGCTCTAGATTTATTTAGCAAGGCCCCTCCTCCACTAGGCTGTGAGCTCTCAGTGGGCAAGATCTGTTCAACTCATTTATGTGCCTGATAAACATTTGGTGATAAGAACTGGGTGAACGAATGAAGGAGTGCATAACCGAATGAATTCTCAGGGAAGGGACTGTTGGGGAACTTTCTGGACCTGTGACAGAGGAGAGAGATGCTGGAGAGGGTGGGGTTCCCAGGTTGTCAGGATGCACTTGCTGTCACCACTAAGAACCCCCAGGCACAACAGGACCCGTGACAGCAGCAAAGAACAGTGGGTGCTGACAGCTGTGGTCTGTGCCTGGAAATCCTTGACTCAGTTTCCAAGTTGGACAAAGAAACACAGAACTAAACGGGTTTGGACATGTTTCCCACAGCCAACATGGACTGAAGACCAGAGACTCAAACATTTTGACCCAAGGAAAACCCTGAGACCCTCGAAGAAGGGGATTGGAGGAAGATCCGGGGGTCTTGAGGGATGGAGCATGCCTGTCAGACTCAGACTCAAATGCAGGGCTCCCCGTGCACACGGAGGGCAGCACAGCTGTGACATGGTCACACAAGAGGAACAGCGGGGTGGCCCCATGTAAGGAGGAAGGGTGGAATCTGCACACTGGGGGCCCTCCCATTTCTTCCCGCTGTCTAGATCCAGTTGTCCACTACGGAAAGAGAGATGGGTCAGTTTTTACTCCTGCTTCACTTGGTAGCTAGAAAACTTCCCCTCACTGATGATATAGTCACCTTAAGGGACGATTCGTGTAGCAAATATTTGATATTTTTGCCTTTATTTACCAACTATGGAGATAAATGAGTCAGTATGCCAGCATCGTCCAGCTTTAGTTTGTTGGTATTGTTACAAACTCACAGGTATACACATATTTGGGGTGTTTAGATTCATTGCAATATTATACGTTTTCTATCTTCAGTCAGTATAATTCTATTAAAATTGGTCTCTAACCAGGAACATTTTGATGTGGGAAAAACAGTAAATTTAAATCTGTTCTTAATATTCTTTAAGAAATTAAGGTGGCTCATACCTGTAATCCTAACACTTTGGGAGGCTGAGGCACGAGGATTGCTTGAGCTCAGGAGTTCGAGACCCCATGTGTTTTAGGGCACCACACCCAGGTACTACTCAGGGCCTTGCCCATCTCCCTAAGGACCATAGCACCTGGCCCTCAGGGGACGCTCAGTCAGTGCTTGTGGGACCCCGAGATCCAAGCAGAGTCGCATCAGGCCCTGAGTCTGACCTCATCAGGAATTCATCATTGCCACGGGGTGATGCAAAGTTGCCCATCTGTACAGCTGCTGTCCCCAAGCCCCGGGCCAAGGAACTCAACAGGCCATGGAACTCAATTTGGGGGACAGCACTGCCCTGGGGACACACCAGGCCCGTGTGGACTGGGATGCAGAGGCCCTAAAGCAAAGGGCCATTATGAACATGAGCAGCAGATCAGCCAACTGTGAAATGCAAGAGAGATTTGACAACAAACTTCAACTCAGACCCACAACCGGGCCAGTATGTCCCACAACAGTGCTTTTCAAAAGACTTTCCAGCAAAACTCCCAGCAAGAAATACATTTTCCATTTTTCCCCAGAGCATATCTAGGTATTTATATAACTGAAGCAAAATCCCACTCACGACCGTGTCCCTCCCCTTTCACGGGATGCTCTCGAGCCAGAGTTGGCTCTGGGTTACCCCACTTTTGCAAAATGCTAGCTGCACCCATCTTAATTGATTTTACACCCTCTGTGAGTTGCAATGCAAATTTGGAAAGTGGTAGCTGG